AAGATCACCCGACTTCATACAAATCAGATATCACCAGCTGTGGCGCTAAGATAGCCCGACTGCATACTTATCGAAAATTACCGTGGGGCCAAGATCGCCCAGTCACGTATAAATCTAAGATCATTGGTTGTAGCGTCAAGATTGTCCATTCGTGTACCTATCAAAGTCGGTCATGATGCCAAGATCGCCCGGGGGCGTACTAATTGAAAAGCGTCAGTTGTGGCGCAAAAATCGTCTGATTGCGTCTAAATAAAAAATTATTGATCATGACGCAAAGATCGCCCAACTGTGTATCAATAAAAAATCACCAGTCGTGGTGCCAAGATCGTCCGATCACATATAAATCTAAATTCATTAGTCGTAGTGCCAAAGTTGCCCAATAGCGTACTTGTCAAAACCTGCTATAGCGCCAAGATCGTCCGACGACGTACTAATCAAAGAGTGTAAGATGTGGTGCCAAGATCGCCCGGGTGTTAACAAATCAAAGATCACCGGTCGTAGCTCCAAGATCGTCTGACTCTGCACTAATAAAAAAATATCAGTCGTGACGCCAAGATCGTCTGGCCACGTATAAATCTAAGATCACTAGTTGTAGCGCCAAGATTGCCCGACCACGTACCTATCAAAATCGGCCATTGATGCCAAGATCGCCTGACTGCATATAAAAAAAGAAGTCGGTCATGGCCCCAAGTACGCCGGATGACACAACTGTACACATAAGGAAAGAGAGAGCGAAAGCATAAAGAAAACTGCAATTCCATTTCAAAAAACAAGTGACCAAAATAGGAGGATTACATGGAAAAAGAGTAACAAAAGGAAGATATGTCGGGTCACTTAGTGATCGCAAGCTCACTGTCAGCATCAGCTTTGTCTCCGCCAGGCCTGTCTGCCTTATCGTCGGAGTCAACAAAAAGGGAGGCGAGGTTCTCCATATTACAACACTTTGGATCCACCAAACCAGCTTTCATAAAGTGATCATTAGTAATACAAAGACCCACTCAGATCTGAGCCTGTCACCGCAAGGTCACTCCGCGAAACCATCCCTGACATCGTCTCTTCTAAGGCTTTAACTTTGGCGATGAGAGCAGCGATAGTTGCTAATACTCTAGGATCGCCACCGCTTGATCCCCTCAGGGGAAGATCTTCGATACCTGCTCTTCTAACTCGTTATTTTTGGCAGTTAGAGAAACACTGGTTTGCTCATGCTCCTTGACCCGGGTCTCCCACTCCTGGGTTGAGGTCTCCAACATTTTCTCTAAAGATCAGATTTCTATTTCCCCTTCTCTCTTAACCCGCAATATCTTGGCCACCATCTGACCAACACTTTTCCTTTTTCTTTCTTCATGAGTTTGAGCTTGGTCAGATAATGGAAAACGACAGGGGCCAAGAAGCTGCACCTATCCAAAACCTCGCATAAGTTCATTGGACCGGATAGGGCGGCATTCAAACCATCAGATTGGGACACCTCCATCAAATAACTCAGAAGGTTGACCGCCTCCCTAGTAGGGAGACCAGTGAACCAATCTCTCTTAGTATCCACCATCAGATACCTCCCACCATAACTCCCGAATACATTGCTCAAACCACCAATCCATGCGACCCACTCTGGGGGTGGCCCTTAACTCTGGGACATGGGTGGTGGTGGTATAATTTCTACATTGACCAAATTCTTAAAACACTTAAGGTCCAGATCAACGTTCCAATAACCCAGATGAAGTCCCTTGAAATGCCCTCGAAGTTCCTATACACACTTCAAAGGTTCAAATAAAAAAAAATAAAGGGAGGCTGAATGTCTCCCTTACCCAGATTGGATCTGTTGGAAACTTTTCCCAGTAGAGCAGCAGACCTCTCCCTCTCCGAAGGCATTTTCGCCCTAGGCCACTTTTCCCCAGCTTTAGCTGAAGCCGCCTCAGCCCTCCTCTTCTTTCTCATCCGACCTCCTCCAAAGATCCTCATTCATACCTCCAGAAGCATCAGGCCACAAAACTCTATTAACTACTTCTCTACTCGTAAATTGAGAGACGGATATCTCCCTCCCCTCAAGCTATTAGCATAAATGCAAACGCTATCAGATAGCGTCCTCGGCCTCACCATCTCCTAGGCTGAAGGTCGAACAACAATTCCCCAGCTTTGGAGGCATGTGGTGATCACAAAATTTGACCGCCAGTCCTTCACCTTATTCTTGACCCCTACCACTCGGAGTCAAGGGAAGAAGAGAAAACTGCATACCTTGTCAATCAATCTTAAACTTGAAGAAGTATGAAAACAAATCGCTCGACCATGGAATCTCAACCTGACGTAGGTAAATGATAAAGGTCATGATGAGGGCAATGGAGTTCAGAGTAATTTGCGCAGGGATGATACCATAATCATTCAGCAAAGACCTCATCTCAGGGCAGAAGGACAACCTCAACCCATATCGAAATTGGGCCACATAGACAACCAAGCTATCTCTGTAGTCTCCGACCGACTTCTCCCCTTTGGTAACGGCACGGAGAATAAGGTTCGGTCCAAAAGAAAACAAGTTCAGCAGAGCCGCTCTTTGCCCCTCGGAGATAATCGAAGAAATCCCAGGAGAAATGACACCGAAGAGCTCGGAAGAGTATCTAGGAGCCATTGCTCGAGAAAGGGCAAATGCTAGGAAAAAGAAAAGTTATGCAAGGAGCTCAAGCACCAGACCCATTAATTTATAATAACACATAGAAGTCAAATCTTCGCTAAGGCAACACAGCAACACCATTATAAAAGGCACATAAAAAGCATCAAATAAAAATACGGGTAGCAAGGAACTGATATACATAGATAAAATATATAAATCATTTAGTAAATGGAAATACATATGAGCTTACCGATTAACGGAAAATATCCAATTGCAAACAATCAGTCATTCGACAAGGAAAAATTTCAGAGCACTTTCAGTTTTGGCTTCAGTTGGGGCATACCCTAACTGAGCCAGTCGGTTAAACATTAACTCACCACCTATTCTAACCAAATCTATCTTACTCATCTCAGTTAACGAACGAGAAGCCCAAATATCTTGACAGAAGGCAATAAATTTGGCTCTCACTCAATTCAGATCACCTTGGAGGGCAACCTCACAAGCCCAAGAAACAACTAATTCTTCCCTCTCGGAGCACGAGTCGCCAACACGATCACCCACACCAGCTGACGGAATCTCAGGACCATGAGGGTAGAGTTCAATCAATCGGAACGACACAGGGACCTCTGACTCCTGCGAGAATTCAATTGTCTGACGCGCCAGACCACTCCTAACAACCTCCCGGAATGACGAAAACCTCAGCAAGATCACGGCAGCCCGCTACACTAGGCAACAACACATTGCGATCAAGAGAGAGTATAACCTTCTCCTTTTCACTGTAAGGAAGTTTGCCACCCAATCCGAGTCTGACGCAGCAATAGAACGAACCTCACTTTCCACCTCCTGTGTTGATGGTGGGGGACGGGAAAGTGATAAAGAAACATCTTCCTCGTTGGACCTCAAAGCTCTACCATGAACGCCGGCCACTGATTCCCCTGAGGACGACAGTTCGAAAGAAGACTCACTCTCTCGTCCTTCCCCTAACTCAGGAGGTCCAAGGAAACGAACTGCTCCACCAAATAGATCAACCTCACGACGTTCCTCTCAAGTCATGCAATGCTTCTTCATGGGATAACTGCTCTCAATCCTCACAGATCCACCCACAGATTGACTGTAATTTGAATTGGAAGATCCCACTGCAACCACGGGATCCAAGGACTTCACTCCAGTCGAAGTGCGCCCATCCAAACAACCCATCTTGAGGGTAGATCTTGCCATGTCTTTCAAAGATTGGATGAACAAAGCTCATCCTTCCTCATCAATGGATGTGGTTAACCTACCACTCTACATCCTAAACACTGTTGGAAAAAATACGAGACAGGTCTCAAAGGATGTCTCAAAAAGATAAGTGATTACTTACTATATAGTAATAGTCATGAATGTCATGAAATTGTTTTAAAAAATTCTCTTTTCCTTGTTGCAGCTGTCGTCATCAAGGAACAAGAGAATCAGGGAACTCCAATATGTACATAAAAAATAATGTAGACGCGAATTGTAAAGTTGATATGCAGATAGCCACAAGTGATATGGCTCACAACTACCTTTCAAGGACGACTCTAGATCGCACAACCGATCAACAATAGTCACCCCGTCCGGATGGGCGATACATTTCCGGGAGAGTCGGGAGGGGTATCCTCTGGATAAATTCGCCAAGATTATGG